TCCGTCTTAAAAAACAAAAACAAAAACAAAAACAAATGAGACTCTTGTTCCTCTTGCTTTTTCCTTTCTTATGCCTATCTTTTTCTTTATAACAGCGTAACTGAAATTTCACAATCAGTTTCTTTTGGTAACTTGATAGAATCTAATTTCAGAGCTCTTTTAAGTGATAAATTTTAAAAAAAATCTGTGCTATTGATAATACTACATATTGTATATGGATAAATTCCTCTGGGGAAGTTGAGGCCTGTATACATACAATTTTTTAAAGTCATATAGTTATAACAGGTTTCACTTAAGTCCCATATCTTTTGATTTATTTGTTTGTCCTTAAGGCTAGCCTCAAAGCTCAAAACCATTATGCAAACTAGGGTTATCATATTGCTATTAACTTTATTTTGCATTTTCCTTTTAGAATTTTGTACATGTTCCTTACCAAATTTCTGCCGAAGTAGTACTCCTAACAGAACAATGCTGGCCCAGCACTTTGAGAGGATGGCTAAAAGACTCCAGAATAGATGAAACTGAACTTAACAAAGGACTACAGCAAGGCTTATCCTGACAGCAACTCCCTCCAGGCCTCCTTTGTTGTCCAAATATGGCTAAAAGGGTTTTGATGCCGACTAGTTGCCAATCACTCCCTCCAATGTGGGACCAGACCAGTAACCCAGGACAGGTCCATCTTGGTTAAAGGGTGATCAGCAATGATTTCAGAGAGAGATCTTGATCAAAAGGGGGAAATGTGAAAGTTGTCAGAATAAAAATGAAGTCCCATGTCATTTTTTAAAACCCTGAATAATGAAGCCAGGGAAGAACATGAAGGGAAGGGAGGGTTCTCATACATGGATTCCCAAATAAAAAAACTCTCACAAAAGACTGCAAAAATCATAATCTTGCACAAAGGCCATCACAATCTTACACACACACAAAATTTCTGCAAGGACATCTGCCCAGCAACTGCTTGTCCAGACTTGAACTGACAGCACCCTTGTTATTGATCCTTGTAGACAAGGATAATTATCTCAAAACAATTATGTAATCCTCCTCATTTTACCTTTAAAAGCCTTGGTATTCCTCTACATTCCTGAACATACACATAGTTTACTATGGCACACGTATTCTCATTGCAATGTCTAGTCCCAAATAAACATCATTTTCTTTCAGAGACTCCCTCTCTGTTCATTATGTAGAATGACAGCTGGCTAAAAAGGTTAAATAGGTGTCATTCATGTGAATGCTCGGACCAACCATAGCTGCCTTTATGAGAAAGTTATGTCATCATTTCAAGTATCCCATGAGACTTTAATCTGAGCAAGTACCGTCCTTCAAAGCCCAAGCACACAATAATAAATGCATCCTCTTTGAATATGGTGGGCTTTCCATGAACCCTGTCGCTTGCAAGCCAACGGAGCCATTGCATGATACTGAAGAATAGCCAACTCACACAGCAACTAAAGAAAGGACATCAAGGCAGCCTACTAGTGGGGCAGTGCTCCCAGCTGAGTAGGACAGTATGGGCACTAAACACTGATTTCCAAAACAAGGAAAACATGCCGTCACAGTGCATGATGGGAAACAGTGAGTTGGGTGGGGCTGGAGGTCTCTTTTTCGTCCTTTAAGACAGCTCTCTCAGAGGCTTTCCATAACCATCTGAATGGCAGCAACATCCTGGGCATTCTCTACCCTATTACTTGAATGTTACCTTCTTTGTAGGATTTATCTGTACTTGAAGTTATTGTATTGACCTCTTTACATGTTAACAAGCTGCTATATGTCTGCAGCCCTCATTCCTGCCCCTAATCCAGCCCTCTCAACACACACTAGTGTATGAGTTCACTAGAGGCAGTCGGTGCTCCTATTTTTGTTCATTGCTGGGTCCCCACTGCCTGCTCTATTGGAGGGGGATGTGAGGATTAAGCTGAAATCTAAAGATGTGTAGGAGTTATGAAGGTAAAGGAGAAGGTGGGGGCATCTCAGTAAAAGTGAACGTGTATAAAGATCCTGCATCAAAAGAGACTACAACAAACATGTAGAAGAGACAGAAGGCACCTGGCCTCACACTGAGAGAACAAGGGGCAAAGAAGAAGGTAGCAGCCAACTTATGCTGGACCATGAGGGTCACATCAAGTGATGCTGTGTCTTAAAAAATGCTTTATTAATTTTGAAGCATTAAGACCTATGTGCTTTGACAATGATGATATGGTGCAATTAATTTTAAATGAGAAAGGAGTTCAAAATTTAAAAATTTCAAAATGGAGAAGAAAAAAAGGGAAGGATACATGCTAACAATGTTTTTAACTGTTTTCAGAAGAATTTTAAGTGCCTGTGAAGTTATAAAAGTTAAAAAGGGTCCTTGGGAAGTTTTTGTTTCTTTTAAAGCAGCTCCAAAAATGTTTCTGGTCTAGCAGAAAAGCCCCAGCTCTTAGAGCCCACCCCCCTCGCCCTCCGCCTTGCCCAGCCGCCCCACGGTCCTGCAAGCTTCAATATAAAAATGCTAGCCATTAGAAACTGGGTCCCCCCAAACATGGCGATTCCGCCATCTTCTTCCTTGCCCCCTCATGTGCCTGGCAACATGGTTGCCACCGCAAATCCTCAGGTGTGTAGAACATCATGGTGCTCTATATTTGCATATTAAAAGACTAGGGTGGGAGAGCCAGCTTTTCCTGGGCTATGTGAATGACATGCCTGGTTAAGCCAATCTCCCGAGCCCTATGCAAATCAGACACCACCTCCTCCTGTCTCCTCATATAAGCAGCCACTTTTCTGCTGCACATGGGGTTTTCTCTTTGTTCAAATCCACCCCTGCCTCTATCTCTGTATGGGGGAGCTGTTTTCTTCTTCCTTTTTTTTTTTTTGCCTATTAAGCTTTTTCTTCTTAAAACCACTCTACGTATGTCTGTGTCATTTTATCCAAACCGGCACGAGACAAAGAACCTGATGTTCCTCCAGTCATTGGAGCTGCCTGTATCTGTAGTACAAAAAATATGCAAAAAAATTTAAAACTTTATGAAATGATTTTAACAGAGGCCTAAATAAATATAAAAATATACTATGTCCATGCACATAAAGATTTAGTAACATAGAGATATTGATCTCTCCAAATTGCATTTATAGATTAAGTGCAAATCCAATGAAATTCCCAGCAGGGGTTTTCATAGAATTTTATACACTAATTATCAATTTTACTTAAAAGAGTATGGCACCAAGAATAATGAGGATATTTTTGAAAAAGAACAAGGTGAGAGACTTATCCTACCTGATGTCAAGACTCATCTGAAACTTTAAGTAAGTTAGTGTAATATTAGTATAGGGATAAACAGACCAACCAGTGGAATTAAGAATCCAGAACTCTCTTATGCTTTCATAAAAGTGAAAGAGGTGGCATGTCAGATCATTAGGGAAGGAAGAGTTATTTGATAAACAGATATGGAAAAATGGTTACCAACCAGAAAAATTCAATGTCATAACCCAATCTCACTTAATGTAAAAAGAATCAATCCCAGGTGGATTTGGAATTCGTCTTCTTAAAAACCTTTAAAATTCTGATTAAAAAATATGGATGACTATCCTTCTGATCTCAGGGTAGGAAATGATCTCTTTAAAATATTTTTATACAATTACGTGCTTTAAAATTGATAAACTTTATCAGTAGACATATAAAAGATAGTGAGTTACTAATTAAAAGAAGATATTAGCAGTATAGAAATGAACAGCAGGTCGGGCGCAGTGGCTCACTCCTGTAATCTCAGCACTTTGAGAGACCAAGGTGGGTGTATCATGAGGTCAGAAGTTCAAGACCACCCTGGCCAAGATGGTGAAACCTCATCTCTACTAAAAATACAAAAATTAGCCAGGCACGGTGGCAGAGTCCTGTAATCCCAGCTACTAGGGAAGCTGAGGCAGGTGAATCACTTGAACTCGGAGGATGGAGGCTGTAGTGACCTGAGATTGTGCCATTGCACTCCAGCCTGGGTGACAGAGTGAGACTCTGTCTTTAAATAAATAAATAAATAAATAAATAAATGAACAACAAATCAGTAGCAAGAATACATAAATATTCTTACCAGAGAAAAATGTGCAAATAGCATGAATAAGCTTTTCATGAAAGAGAAAACAGACGTGGTCAAAACACTAATGACATTCAATCCCAAGACTATCATAAAATACCACCTTATAGCCATTTAATTGGCAAAAATAAAAAATGTGCCAATACCAACTTGGTAAGAATATGTGAACCTATGGGGTGGGAATATAACTGCTACTACTTTTTTGAAAAATAATTTGACCTTATCCTATAAGATGAACATTCACATATTCTACATCTGATCCCCCTCTTAAGTATATACTCAAGAAAAACAATTATAGATGTGTACTGGACACATGTATAACAATGTTCATATTAACATGTAGCCAAGCACAAAAACCTTGATACAACCTGCAAATCCATCAAAAAGGATCTATGAATAAAATATTTAATATTTATGCAATGAAATTCTACGCAGCAGTAAAAGTGAATGGACTACGGCAACAGTAAGCAATATGGGCAAATATTAGCAATTTAACATTATATAAACATAATTACTGAATTTTTACATACAGTTTGATGTCCTTTCTATGCATTAAAACCAAACAAAATAAAGGCATTTTTACCATCACATAAGAAATGAGAATACACATGCACACAATTTAAAGTGATAATGATCTCAGTGGAAGGAGTGGGGGTGGGGTGATTATAGGATGAGATATGACAGAAGTTATTGTTAGATTTCTAGGTTTGAAGTTGGGTGGTAAGCTCATTGGTGCTCATGACATTATTAAAACAAACAAATAATAGGGGATGCGTGCATCAATGTGGAGAAACACAGCATGAACAACAGGTATAAATTCTAACTCTCACCTTGGCTATAAATGAGGCAAAGGTTTACAGCACATTTACTTGATCACAGACTGTCAAACAAAGACATATTAGTGGCCACGGTAGGCTGTGACAACTCTAGTCTCACCTCGATGAGTCAGGTTAAAAAGGATATTGACACTTCTCTTCCTTAGGTAATTTTCAGCTATGAGTGTGAGGTTATAAGTTTCTTGTGAGTCTTGAGTTATTTGCCAATTACACCAGTTTTTGTGGGTACAAAGTTTCTTTTCCCCAGAAAATCTTTAAAAACAAAACAAAAGAACACAACTATTACAAGGTTTTACTTCTGTCAAAGCAAATGTATCCCTTAACCCTTGGGGCATTCTCAGTGACTGTCAAACTATGTTCCCCATAATGGCACTGATGCACCGCCAACAAATACCAATAATGAAAATATTGTTTCTACAAATTTGATATATGTGCTAAAATGTCTTAACAATGAATTACTGACACCCCCGTGGGTGGCAAAAAGTCCCTTAATTGCCGGGCGCGGTGGCTCACGCCTTTAATCCCAGCACTTTGGGAGGCCGAGGCGGGTGGATCACGAGGTCAAGAGATCGAGACCATCCTGGTCAACATGGTGAAACCCCGTCTCTACTAAAAATACAAAAATTCAGCTGGGCATGGTGGCGTGTGCCTGTAATCCCAGCTTCTCAGGAGGCTGAGACAGGAGAATTGCCTGAATCCAGGAGGCGGAGGTTGCGGTGAGCCGAGATCGCGCCATTGCACTCCAGCCTGGGTAACAAGAGCGAAACTCCATCTCAAAAAAAAAAAAAAAAAAAAAAAAAAAAAAAAAAAAAAAAAGTCCCTTACTTTACTTGGAATATTCTTAAAAAGTCAGAAATTGGGTAGATCCAGATTATCAGAGGGGACTATTTTCACGTTGTGATATACAATTGACTGTCTTTCTTATCATACTATGCTAAATGTTCCTTTATTAAAAACCTCAGGTAGAAAATATTAGACACTTGTGACCACTTAAAGGTTTCCTCTTAATCTTGGCAGATGTTTCTAAAATATTTGTTCCAATTTCCTGCAACATCTAAATGTAGATTTTGCCATGTTGTTCACAAGCACCTCAAACAAGGAAGAACTTGTCAAGAATGTAACCAGAGCCAACTTACGATTCAAATAAAGTGTAGCTTTGGGAAGGTTGTTTAGACCAACCCAAGGCAGTGTCCACCCCAGGATCCCAAGTACAGTGCAAAGTCTTGAAGTCCTGGGTTTCACAAGAAAAGTCCTTGGGCTCCTCAAGTACTTCTGTCCATACAAAGGAAAACAGACCTAGTTAAATCTTTTTATTGGAAGCTAAGCCAAATGGAAAGCTCTGTTTAGAGTCTGAAGCCACAGAGTTACTCTGAACAATGTAGGGGTCACTGAAGTGGAAGCCTACATATCAACAGCCTCCTAAAGTCACTTTTCAGGGGCCACCTCATCTTGGCCCCTTCTCCTTCCTGCCCTTGTGATTTCTCAGATGTCATGGGCATGGGTGGTCAATATTATGCAAGTGGTTGGTGATGTGTCTGTTTGACAAGGGTTGTATCCCCAGTCCCTGCCAGAGTTTCATTTTGGGTGCTGTGGCTCACAGAAAGCCTCAGGGATGTGAGAAAATCAGTCAGATTTGTGAACCTGCTAACTTCAACAGGCAGGGGCTGAGTGTTCAGGGAATAGTGAAGCACTTCTGAGTCCCCAGAGTTACTGCTGCTCTTAGTGACCATGCTAAGGGGACACAGAAGAAACAGGCATCCAGGTGACTGGAGACTTCCTTTGGCAAGGGAGGCAGGAAGGGAGATGTCCCCTACTGTGTAAAGGGAAGGAGATGCTCAAAACAAAATACAGGAGGCCACTAGTTGTGCACACACAGACCTATATAAAAATCAAAATGTTCCCACTCCACTAACGTATCCAATGGAGCCAATTTACTGCACAGTTAAGAACAGTAATGGCCTCCATTTGCTGATCTCTTACTGCACACAGGTATTACTGGGGCCCAATGCTACACACATTCATTAATCCTCACAATCACCATCACTGTCCCCATTTTACAAAGGAGAAAACTGGCTCAGAGAGGCTAGGAAAGTTGGCCAAGACGACACACCCAGCCAGGGAAAGAAGATTCAAACCCAGGTCTCCTGGGCCACAACCCTGGCTGACTCTGTGGTTGTCCAATCTGTAGCCCCTCTCCTTCCTCCAGGATCCCGTAGTAATTTCAGCATGGCTGGGGAAAAAATGGGGATTTTCCCAGTAGTCCAGGTCATGACTCGAAGTGTCTCTTCTTTAATACTACTGATTTCTAGGAATACAACTGTCAGTAAAAACAAGAAAACAACAGGAAATCCTGGAAATATTACTGAAGGACATCAATTTCAGAGCCTTTCTAGAAAACTTGGGAAGCAAAAGAAAATCAAGATCATGGGCAGAAATGCTTAACTTGTCTTCTAGTAAAGGAGATTTAATCTATTCCTCAGGAAATGAGAAGAAAGGGTCACAGAATTTGCATACTTACTTGAGACAAAGAGAACGATGCCTTTTATGCCTTTAGAGACACTTCCTTGGCTCACCTCACAATACACATCTGCCCCTGTTTTCCTAATGAAAGGCACACTACTTAAGTGGAATACAGATACGTGTGGATCAAGTTGTTCTCCATAAATCTGTTTCCCTTCCCAATAACAAGATACATTATTTTGAATGTTTCTAGAAACATAGCAAATGGTGACGTTGGCACCTTCTTCCACCAGTTTATCTTTAGGGAAAACGAACAATATATCCTGTCCAAGAGAATCTTGTACTGCAAGACCAAAAAAAAAAAAAAAAAAAAAAAGCCAAGTTAGTATCTCACTCAAAATTCAAGCCTCTTAAAACAAGTTGTCCATTTTCCCTCAGCAGATAACTTTAGCTTTTTCTACCTCCTGTAGAAAACAGCAAACTAAATGTATCTGCCAATCTTCTACCCTTTGGTGCATGCCAGACAATCCTTTCCAGCATTGCTCCTGTTGTTACATGGCTACCACTGCGGTTGTGGTTACAGCCACAGACAGCACGTTACTGTTACCACTCTGAGTATTGCATGATTGCTACTGCTAGGTTATTGTATCAGCAGCAGCTGCTCAAGTCCCAGCCCTGCGGGAGGCCATGTTAAGTGTTTATGTACATTATCTCAGGACATTCTTAGTACTTTATGACAACAGGTCAGGTAGGACTGAGCCAAAGTTTGCCCAGTTAGAAACTGGTAAAACCATATTCAGACTGGCATGGTCTACCCAGTTCCAAAATCCCTCATAATCTCTTAATTGTTCTGGAGACCATATCTCTCCCTAGCTTCTCAGAAATGCCCATCCCTCAAATGTGAGGGGTCTTTAAAAAGTTCATTTAAGTTTATAAAAATCCAACCTTCAAGCGATTCTCAAGCCTCAGCCTCCTGAATAGCTGGGACTACAGGCATGTGCCACCACCTGGCTGATTTTGTTGTATCTTTGGTAGAGATGGGGTTTTGCCATGTTGTGTAGGCTGGTCTTGAACTCCTGAGCTCAGGCAATCTGCTCACCTCAGCCCCCTAAAGTACTAGGATTACAGATGTAAGCCACCGCACCCAACTTCTTACTATCTTTTTAAAATGCTTTCTTTCCCCGTATATGTGTCCGTGTAATGGTTAGCACATGACCTCTGGAGCCATATTGTCTGGGTTAGAATTCTAGCTCCACCACTTAGTGGCGTGGTAGCCTTGCATGACTTCTTTAACCTTTCAGTGCCTGTTTCCTTACCTGCTAAGAGAGGATAAGAAGTCCTTTTACAGGACTGATATGAGAACTAAATATATATAGTACTTTAAAAAGTGACTAGGCCATAGATTTAATTCAATTATTATCTCATTATTATTAGTTTAATGGGAGGAAAAGAAACTGACAAAACTCACTCTAAATTTTATTACAACAAAATTAAATTATCAGTATTAAAGAATATTTAAAATATGTTTATCCATAATCTCATCTTTCAAATAACACATCACTTTCATTTTTCCATATTTCCTCTGCCTCTAGATTGGGGGGGACTACAACTTGAGCCCACCATCTGTTGGGGTGTGTGTGTGTGTGTGTCAGAACCTCACTCTGTCGCCCAGGCTGGAGTGTAATGGTGTAATCTAGGCTCACTGGAACCTCTGCCTTTTGGGTTCAAGTGATTCTCCTGCCTCAGCCTCTCAAGTACCTGGGACTACAGGCGCCTGTTGCCACACCCACCTAATTTTTGTATTTTTAGTAGAGACATTGTTTCACCATGTTTTCCAGGCTGGTCCTGGACTCCTTACCTCAAGTGATCTGCCCACCTTGGCCTGCCAAAGTGCTGGAATTACAGGCGTGAGCCACCGTGCCAGGCCCTATTGTTGTAAGTAAAGTTCTATCAAAAAAGCCCTCTCATTGGTTTACACACTATCTATGGCTGCTTTCCCACTACAGTGGCAGAGCTGAATAGTCACAACCGAGATGGTATGCTCTGAAAAGGATACAGTATCTTATCCGGTCCTTCACAGAAAAAGGTTCCCAACATCTACTTTAGATGCATACACATTTTGTGTTGCTCAAATACATACATATGTACAATTTATGTCTTGCTTTGTTCACTTAGCATTTATAATATACACACTTTACACCTTTTGAAAACAAATATGAAATTGTCTGATTTGCACAGCCGTCTCAACGAATAAGTTCAGGAGCAAGACTTCAGACTATATCTTCCAGTGCCAAGTTTCACACCTGTGTTTTTTAGTTCCCACAGGAGCCGAAGGAAAATAATGTCAGTGTCTACCCAGGGTTCCAAAAAGGAGATTTCCACTACTCAACCATTGCTCTTCATTAAAAAAACATATTAACCCTTTTCACTCTTGCAACTACCTCACTTCTTACCATTGACTTCCTCCCATGAACTCCAGTTGCTCCAGAAATTTGGCTCATGGAACCTGGCATCGTCCACTGCACTCTTTATTCTTACAAAGTGTGTTGCACATTCCAAAGGGAGTTCAGATTCCCAGCTCCAATGCAAAACCTGGTTCCACTTCACAGTCGTGCTATAATTCCCCTAAAAGCAAAGAGAAAAAAAATGGAAACACATAGCCATCTTGTTCTATAAAATAGCTTGACTTGACTTATACCAAAGCACAAATCTAAGATCCCATTCCAGGGCCACAATATGTACCAGGGAAGACCATTTCTGTTAGTCAATTCCCTGTGCTCTGATGCCTTACATGGGAGCCAGCTATAATCTCCTGCCTTTTGAAAACTCAGCTTCCAATCCCTATGGTCGTCCAATTCCAGGGGTCTCACGTGGAACATGCGGAAGAGAAAACAGAAGCTGCCCAGGTCTTGGGGAACAGATCAGACAGAAGGTGTTCATTGTGCCAGTCCCAGAGAATCTAAGAAAGTTCTTGAAAAGTAGAGAATTAATTCAGTCATTCTTTCTTTTTTTTAAAAAAAGAATGATTGATTGTTTTACAAATATTCATCTTTAGCAAGGTTCAGATTAGGTTGGCCAAATCTCAGTCAAGAAAGCAGTCTTTCATGGCACACCAGAAATTTCATTTTCTCTTAGAAGTCAACAGATGGGGCCGGGCACGGTGGCTCAAGCCTGTAATCCCAGCACTGTGGGAGGCCAAGGCGGGTGGATCACGAGGTCAAGAGATCGAGACCATCCTGGTCAACATGGTGAAACCCCGTCTCTACTAAAAATACAAAAAAAATTAGCTGGGCATGGTGGCGCATGCCTGTAATCCCAGTGACTCAGGAGGCTGGGGCAGGAGAATTGCCTGAACCCGGCAGGCGGAGGTTGCGGTGAGCCGAGATCGCGCCATTGCACTCCAGCCTGGGTAACAAGAGTGAAACTCCGTCTCAAAAAAAAAAAAAAAAAAGAAGTCAACAGATGGCTCTCCAAGTCTCCCTTGGTTTCCTGTCTCTTGTGTTTTCAGATGTGGTGGCCACATGGACCACACCCCATCTCTTGGGCTCCACTTGTCAGACTCTTAAGCCCTGGAGACATCAATGACACAAAATGTCTTACGCTGTTCTATAGGAAGCTTGTCTAAGTTGAACTGCCATTTGGGCTTCTGGCACAGCCTTTAGCCTTTATCTTTCTGAGATTCTGGTGTTTCCATTCTCTAATTCCACCAGCTTCAGTGGTTCCTTTACACCTTACCCTGTTACACAAGGCCTGCTATATAATCTGGCTCCAATCCACCAGTCCCTTGCAGGAACCATCTCTCCAAACACGGCTCCTCCCAACACTTCTGCATCTGCATCTGCATCTGCCTCTGCCTTCTGCATCTGCCTTATGCTTTCACACCTGTCTTTGCTCAGGCATTGTCTTTGGTTTGGTGTCTTCTACTCCCTGCTGAATTGGGATCTATCCTATTCTTCAAGCCCAGGTCATGCCCCATCTCCTTCATGAAGGCTTTCTTGCTCTTTCTTCTGCATTCCTCTCATCTCCACCCCTCCTGAGGCCCTCCTCTATACCATAGCTAGCTGTTGGTGTATCAGCTGTGATTCCAGCAGGAACTGTGCTCTCCTCTTCTTTGTGTCCCCTATAGCTCCAGCCACACCTTCTCCTCAGAATGCCTCCTCAAAGACTCCTGTTTTCTGCCCCACAGCTGTAAGGTGGAGACAATACACACATGACACTTCCTGGGGGAACTGAGTTCAAGCCTGCATCCGTGTTTCTAAGGGCGAATGGTAAGTCCTCAGTGAAGGGAGTGGGACATGTCACACACTGCTTGGAGTTAGCAACTCAGAGGGCTTCTTCTATTTATGTCTGCCCCCTGTTCAGGTTGCTAACTTGAAATAGTGTCCCTGACAAAACTAAACCCAGCCCTGGGCTGAGAACTTCCCAGCCCACTCAGTGGGCATTTAATTGTCGGCTTCCTTTTTCACTCTATGCAGACTGTGATTTTTTTATGTTTATATTTTTTTTCCTTTTATTGCATTACTTTATTCCTAGATCACAAAATAAGTTCTTTTAACAAGTTGTGAGGTCCTGATCCATAAAACTCTCACTATTTAATGTGAGCAATATCAAGTACATTTTACTTAAATATTTTTAAAATTTAAGAGCAAATAACCCCTCTCTTCCCCCCCGACCCCTGCTAGAAGGAAGTACATCAGTAATGGCAACCTCACTATAATGTCAACAAGTCACAGACTGAATTTTACCTCCCACTTCTCCTTAAAATGCAGCGTTTCTCTCATCGGCATCTCTGCTTTGGCTGGACCCCACAGCTCGCTTCCTACTGGCCACACCTCCCTTTCCCCACTTCCCCACCACACTCTGCTTTGCAGCTATTCAAATCAGATCTTGCCACTTCCTTTGTTCTTATTGCCTTTGGGATAAAACAAAACAAAACAAAACCTGAGCATGCTCCCATGGTCCTGTGCATCTAGGCCCGTGCCACCATCTGCATGTGCTTGGGGATCCAGCACCACAGCCAGCTTTCAGGCCTGGAAATTCTCCACCCCCCTCTCAGGGCCTCTGCTTATGCCTGTTGGGGCTGCTCAGAGCACTCTTTTCTACTTTACTTGCTACATTAACTTCAATCCTCTTGGATATCTGGTCTCAAACAGCCCTTTGTCCAGACTGTGGGAGAAGGTGAGGCCTAATCCCAACCTCACAGCATCTCATCAGTGACCTGTACACACAGCCCACATGTAGAATATCCTATTTGTGCGTTTACTTCCTCATTCTTTCCAGCATGCTCAGTGCTGATATTCCCACACTATGCACAATGGCTGACCTGGGCCCACAGTCTACAACTCTGGACTGAATGATTTCATCATTTCATTAATATGCAATGAGTTGTGTTTCCCCCAGACACTATTTATGTGTGGATTCTGTTTAACCTCAACTTCTGCTTTGTGGTCTTTACAGCCCCTGTTAATGTAGGAGATAAAACTTTTTCTTAAATACAGCAATTCAGTGATTTTTTTTCTTTAAATATGATAAATTGTCTTTGGGTCATTTTAGTCATTGAAGCGGCAAGTTTAATTTGACCCCTGCAGATGTCAGTAAATCACAAGAAATTGGCATATACATTCACAGAGAAGTCTAACTGAGGTCACTGATTTGTTACTGAGACATTTGACTCCCATGCCTGGCCTCCTTCCAAGCTTGAGTTCTTACCCTACTTTGCCTTCCTATGCCATTGACAAAATCATAAAGCAAAGGGAAGGGGAGGGCCATGACTCAGGGCAGGACCATGCAGTTCAGGGTTCCAAATGGCCAATACCATCCAGGAGACAGCTCGGTGCCTCTGGCCCAGCTGCAAGTAACTGGGTCAAGGTGCTCTTCCTTTGGCTTGTTTGGGAACAGAGGTGTCTGAGACACTGAGTCCAGAAGCTCCCCCCATCCAAGAGCATGAATGAGAGTACCCTATCAGGCCTGCACTACAGGGAGCTTCCCCGTGTAAGGGAGATTTTAGTCTAAACAGAAGCAGCTTCCTCTTCCTTAACAGGAGGAGGAACTTATATTTCTCCTCAACTTCAGGCATGAGGGATTCAGACAAGCACTTCTCAAGGTATTGTCTATTCCATAGAACATGTGCCCACCAACGGCCTGGGGGCTGCATGTGACTGTCATCCCTGTCCGGGCACAGGGGTGAAGGATGGTCCCACCTTGCCCCTGTCACTTGGAGCAACACAACAAACCTCTCTGTGGTGTAGTTTTTTCTCTGTTGTGGTCAAACTGGGTTGGGTGTTGTGAGGATGACACGACAGACAAAGCAAAACTCTACCCCGAAGGATCTCGAGCCCTAGAAGGTTACAGAAATAGTCTACACTAGCTGCTTTCTCTAGCAAAGAGGACTACTAAAGAATCCAATATGAAGCACATTTGAACAACTGCTTTTTAGGAAAATAAAGAAAAGATCTACTTGGTCTATGGCTAATGGTGTTTTCTCTAACGTAATAATAGATATGAGTTGTCTTTTGGAAAAATAAAGAATGGGATCCATGTAGTCTACGGTTAATGTTATTTTTGCTAATGGTGGTAAGTGCTAGTTTTCCACAATTCCTCCAGCACTTCCACCTCAATTTTTCTATTTGTAGCTAATTATCAGTCACAATATGACCTTTGCTTCAATGTTTTACTGGGCCCAAATTACCAACGAGTGTACCCATTAAAAATACAAAAATCAGGAAATAGGATCCAAGATGGCCGTTTAGGAGCAGCTCGGGATTGCAGCTCCCAGTGAAAGCGCAGAGGGTGAGTGGATGCCGCATTTTTATTGCCCACAGACTAGGAAATTCCCAGGTGGAGGTGCTCCACGGTCGCCAGCGCAGCGGTTTCGGCCAGCGCGGCTGTGCCGGCCAGCGCCGCTGCTTTGTCCTGCGCCGCTGCTTTGTCCTGCGCAGCTGCTTTGTCGGCGCCCCGGAGCCGCGGTTCTCCGTACAAAATACACTGGTCCGGGGGCCCTTTTGGCTGGCGATTGGAGCCACGGGAAGTCGCCCATACGCTGGTTCAAAAAGGGGACTGAGCAGAGAGCCAGGACAGTAGATTCCAGGGCAAA